CTGCTGATTCAGGGCTGTAACTTCACTTCTAGCATCGTTAACGTTTGCAACACTCTTCCTGCAATACCGGGCTGAGGAGGTGACGCTTTCCTGTGAAAGCTTTCTCCTCACTGTGGGTGAGCAGATTTTTTCGTCCCCTCTGTGGCAGTGCTAGGAATGGGCTGAGTCCCATTACGAATTCCCTTTGGTTTTACTAATGCTATTTGTAACTGCCAGTGTAGATTGCATCTTCCCTTTCGTAGTAGGAATTTGACAACATAGTGGGGAGATGGCTTGAAGAACTATGGCTGTATTCAGGGACCATTAACACGGGATTGCTTCAGTCTTCCTGAATCGTGGGGCTTGTGCCAGGAAGACTTTTGAGATCCAGTGGACTCTTCTTACCCAGTCCTGCTTGGGGAAAGGAGTATTGCCACCCTGTACTGAGCTGGCTACAAATTTAAAAGTAGGCTTTTTTGCTAGCTTGTTTTTAGAAGAGGCTCATTCTTTGCGAGAGGACTCTCTTCTCACTAGAACGTCAAATGAGGTGGAGAAAATAGAGGTATAACTTTGCCTTCATAGCAAATGGACCAAACAGTGCAAGAGCAGTCTGAGTTTGCAATCTGGTGTTTAATTTCTGGTTTAATTAGATCTGTATCTGCCCTGTGCTATGTAAGAACGCTTAAGAAATTCTATTCCCAGTCTTGTTGCTTCTTGTTTTATTACTGTATTGTCCTTGGAACGAGTTAACCACAGAGCGGGGTCCCACAGCTCTTTGGCATGAGGCTGTCAAAGAGTTGAAGCATCCAGAGATGGAGGTTGCCGTCCCCGCGCCTGCGGTGGCAGGCATGAATACAGACCCTGTGTCTGTGTGATCTGGAGCGAGGACCGTTGATGCCACGTCCGTGACCAAGAGCCCTTGGCGTGTGCCTGTGATTCCACGGCTGGATCTTCCTTGTTGTTACAGATGTGTAATCCCATAAAAAGATGTGGAGTGAAGCAAACTGTCCACTTCTCTCACTGCTTCTGCAGCTAATCACAACAGGGTGATTTCTTTGGCTGGTGTAACCAGCAGGGTGTAAGACAAAACCCTTTGAGAGATCGTGCCAGAGCCCACAGGACATGGTTCTGAATTTTTATCTTTTTTT